CCATGCCTTTTTGCACCTCTCTTTCTTCTTATGTTCAATACTTTTTCCCGTGTCATTCCATTTTATTACAAATAACTTAATTTCTGAACGTATTTGTTTCGATTTCTTTGCATGGGTTATGCAAAGAGACCCATTTGTTATGGATTGCATGGGTTGTTACTGACATGTGGTGAAATTTTAATGTCAATAGCATCTTTAGAAATTATTTACTGAAAAAATGGTGATGTGTTCAATACTTATTTTACCCGTTGTATATATAAAGCTTCAGAAGCACTTTAATACTACTGTAACAGCTTCCCGTCTTCAAAAGTACTGCTACAGGGCGGCAGGGTGCGCAAAATCACATATTAGATATATTTATATATATACCTCCTAGATTGTAAGCTCCAAGGAGCAGGGCCCTCGAACCCCTTGTGTATTGTATTGTTACTGTACTGTCTCCCATTATAATGTACAGCACTGAGCAAACTGTTGGCGCTAAATAAATACTGTATAATAATATATGTAATTTTGCATCTCCAGGTAGGGGGCGCACGCCCTACCCACACTGCTATTCGTGGCTGTCAATCTCCATGTCCTGGACAGTGATTACGCACCGGTGCCCCGTGATTTCCAAGCATCTCTGACGGGGGGAGAACTGTTAGTAAACAAAACATTTCTCCTCCGTCAGCTCCTGCACACTGCTTTGCATGGCTGTGCACAGCACAGCCATGCAAAGCAGTGTGCTTACAGTGAAGCACACAGACACAGTTCCAAGTAAAATAGCACACAATGAACCCTTTGATCGCCCCACGTTAACCCCTTCCTGCCCAGTGCCATTAGTACAGTGTCAGTGCTTTTTATTAGCACTGATCGCTGTATTGGTGTCACTGGGGATGTCAGTGACACCAAGTCAGTTTCCCCCAGTGTCAGAATGCCCACTGGAGTCCCAATATAAGTTGCTGATCACTGCCATTACTAGTAAATATTAAAAAAAAAAAAAAAAAAAATTCCAGTATCTATACCCCCCATTTGCAAATGCTATAACTTTCACGTAAACCAATTAAATTTACGTTTATTGGCATTGTTTTTAGCAAAGACAAAGCAGAATACATTTTGGCCTAAATTTATGATGAAATTTGATTTTTTTATATTTTTTTAATGGACATGTTTAATAGCAAAAAGTCAAAAATATTGTGTTTCTCAAAAGTGTCTTTTTTATAGTGCAAAAAAAAAATTTATTTAAAACACACGTAGGCGATCAAATAACACCAAAAGAAAGCTCCATTCATGGGGAAAAAAAGAACATAAATTAAATCTGGGTGCAGTGTTGCATGACCGTGCAATTGTCAGTTAAAATAATGCACCGCCATATCGCAAAAAATGGCCTGGTCAGGAACGGGGGTAAATCCTCTGGAGGGACCAGTGGTTAAGCCCCCGGTCACATCGGGTGCGATTTGCAAATCGTATGCCAAGTCGCACCCTATTGTCTGCTATTACAGCGGTCACATTGGTGCGGTTCCGACATGGTCGGAGTTGCACCGATTTCTAAAGCAGCACATGCACTACTTTTGTTGCGATTTGTATAGCCAGTTGTGTCAGATGTCTTGCAAATCGCAAGGAAGTCAGCAGGTCACCGGATTTCGAAATCACGTGACTTTACTGTAAGTCGCACGATTTCAAAATCGGCTTTGATGCGAGCGGGGTTGTAATACTACTTGAAGACTACTGCCTACAGAACTTTGTTTACACAGCCCAAAAATCACACAACGAATCCTGGGGAGTGAGAGGGACCTCTGCAGGATGTGGAGCGCTGTGACCCCCAATAATCATGAAACAAAAAGATAAGAGCCCTGTGTGGCGCCCCTATGAAGGTGAGTGGAGGGCAGAGCAGTGTGCTGTGTAGTGGGGGTGGGGGAGCAGCACCCCCCACACAGCTTCCTATGGGGGGAGGAGGAGGGGGTGGGGGGTCTCCTCCATGTCTATACATCTCACACAGCTGTATGCTTACAATGGAAAAGAGGCAGACATACAGAACACACATGCATACACTTAAAGCCCCCCCCCCCCCCCCCCCCCATATATATAATAATGATGATAAATGGATGCTATCACAGGGCCGCCTATTGTGCTTTCAGGCTGCGCACTCCCGCTCTTTCCCATCTCGTATGTCAGCAGCGGTTGCAGATACCTGTGTGCATCCGCAGAACTCCGACAAGAAGTGTTCCCACTCCAGGCCTACACCATGTACCTCTGTCCCTCCGCGACTTGCCTCGGATCCCACTTCTCCCGCTGCTCCGGATCCTTTCCCCCGGGACTTCCGGTAGGGTGGAGCATGCGCAGTGCCTGCCCGTCCGCATACAACCGCCATCTTACTAGAGACAGCCTGTGGGAGAGCGATGGACTATTACAAATTATTTGTTACTTCCAGAAAATAAAGTCATATCACAATGAAAGTATTCTGAATAGTCCATGGAAGTGCAATAACACTATGTGCATTGCAGTGTAAAAATCATATCACCATTGTCAAGGCCAAGCTTGTTATAAAAGAATCGCGCTTCTTTTCCTCACAATGCTAGGCAACTTATAGCTTTAAAGGGTTAGTTCACGTTTACCAAAAAAAAAAAAATGCCTATGCCGATAAGGGATGTCTATAGATAAAAACAAACTGTGCAGCTTGGACCGTAATGCCCTTGCTATAGTTGAAGGTCAATTACATACCTCATAAATAGGCTTGCCACCTCATCCCTTTAAAACCAAACACATTAATTACACAGGTTCTGGGGCTAATTTAATGCAGATAAGGCACTAAGTGAGTTTACCACCTTAATCGGCCACAGAACCCGTGTAATTAATGTGTCCAGTTTTAAAGGGATGAGGTGGCAACCCGACTCATAAAGCCTGACTGGAAAACTCCCAGGATGTTGCTAAGAGAGGCCCAGCTGTTACTGTTCACCTTCACTATGACAGGAGTGAGCTCTTTCTCTGATTCAATCTCTTCACATGCACTATCCCCTGATGCTGTAGTTGTAATCTATGCATCAGAGAGCTCACGCCCGTGTAGAGTTGCCAGCTCGTCCCTTTAAAACCAAACACATATTGATTGCACAGGTTCCGTGGCTGATTAAAGTGGTAATTAAACTCACTTAGTGCCTTATCTGCAATGGCCAAGCCCAAGCCCTGAAAAACATCCCCACACCATAATCCCCCCTCCACCAAACTTTACACTTGGCACAATGCAGTCAGGTAAGTACCGTTCTCCTGGCAACCACCAAATCCAGACATGTCCATCGGATTGCCACACAGAGAAGCTTGATTCATCACTCCAGAGAACACGTCTCCCCTGCTCTAGAGTCTAGTGGCGGTGTGCTTTACACCACTGCATCTGAAGCTTGGCATTGCACTTGGTGATGTAAGGCTTGGATGCAGCCACTCGGCCATGGAAACCCATTCCATGGAGCTCTCTACATACTGTTGTACTAATATGAAGGCCACACGAAGTTTGGAGGTCTTTAGCTATTGACTCTGCAGACAGTTGGTGACTTCTACGTATTGTGAGCTGACCCCACTCTGTCATTTTACGTGGCCTACCACTTCATGGCTGAGTTGCTGTTGTTCCCAGTTGCTTCCACTTTGTTATAATACCGCTAACAGTGACTGTGGAATATTTAGTAGCAAGGAAATCTCACGGATGGACTTATTGCACAGGTGGCAACCTATCACGGTACCACGCTTGACTTCACTGATCTCCTGAGAGCGCCCCATTCTTTTACAAATGTTTGCAGAAACAGTCTGCATGCCTAGGTGCTTGATTTTATACACCTGTGGCCATGGAGGTGATTGAACACCTGAATCCAATGATTTGAGTGTGTCTCCCAATCCTTTTGGCAATATAGTGTATTTGACGTAGCCAGAAGGATGCATGAAAAATGGAGAATTTTTTGCAACTTTTTGCATATTTTGTGCAAGTTGCAGGAATCTCTTTATTGACTCAAGCAATCTGCTCCAGCATACAATTTAGAAATAAACAAATTCTTGCTATACAAAGGATTCATACAAAGCAGAACTGACCCATGTGTATACTTAAAATGAGTAGAAATTGACTATATGTATATTTTACATGGATGACTTGATTGTTGCTCACAAAAAGGATGAGGAAATTGCAAAGTTGACTGCAATGCTTAACCAGCATTTTGAGACTAAAGATCTTGGGGGTGTGACATATTACCTTGGAATTAGCGTACAATGTGAAGAAGATGGAAGCTTATTGTTAAATCAGAAATCTAAAATTGAGGCAATGTTTCAGCAGTTTGGCATGGCTGAAGCAGAAGCAAGTACTCCCATAGACACAGCATACCTAAAAACGGAAGGGGATGAGGATCTTCTTCCTACTAATAATCAGTACAGGCAAGCAGTGAGGGCATTGCTATATACTGCAACCACTACACATCCAGACATTGCAGGTGCCATGTTGCCTCTTTGTAGACACGTGAGCAAACCATGTGAAAGAGGCTGGACATCATGAGATATCTCAAACAAATAAAAGACCTGAGTCTGAAGCTGTGTGCAGTTGGTGATGTGAACCTCAGAGGATATGTGGACTCTGGGTGATAGGTGACCTAAACGCTCACAAATCCCCAAGTGGAAACAGTCCTATATCTTGGTCCAGCAAGAAGCAGATCTCAGTAGCTTTGTCTTCTACAGAGGCAGAATACATTGCTGCTTCCTATGCCAGTCAACAAGCTGTGTGGTTAAGTTAATTGCTTGAAGAGCCATTGTCCCAGCCTACAATCTTATATGAGGACAATCAAGGATGTATCAAACTTGCCACCAATGAAAAGATAAATTCGGTAGTTAGGTGTCCGGACACATTTTCCCTAAATATCGCATCCAAACCTGAAATTGTCAATTAACTATGCCATTTTGTGGTATTTAACCCAAAGCACTTAGTAATACTGCATAAAAAGGGGTTAAAGTCAATTCACAGAAGGAAATAATTAAATGCATTAATTAAATGCCTCCCGCCCACCATATAAGGCAATGATGGGTGCAAGGCAGTTCTCTCGTTCTCTCTAACTGCGCGTACACAGCTCTGGGAGCGCGCAGCGCAGCGATGGGTGGCGCGCTGTGTCCCTTGCACACAGCGGATCACCGATCAACGGAAAGAGCCGAAGATGTCGGCTTGGTCATGTGAGCAGCTGTTTCCAATCACAGCTGATCACATGTAGATAGGGAAATTCCGGTTATCAGCATTTCTCACCTTACGAGCTGTCACGCTGACAGCTCGAGAGGAGAGGAGAGCCGGTAATCGGCATTCTTCGGAGGGGACATCTACACTGATCATCAGGGCACTGATGATCAGTGTGACCCCAGAAGTGCCACCTATCAGTGCCCATCAATGCCAGCTGTCAGTGCTCATCAATGCCACTTGCCAGTGCCCATCAGTGCCTCATCAATGCCACATATCAGTACCTACCAGTGCACATCAATGCCACATATCAGTACCTACCAGTGCCCATCCGAGCTGCCTTTCAGTGTCACCTATCAATGTCAGTCAGTGCCACCTATCAGTGCTGCCAATCAGTGCCGCCTATCAAGGCCAGTCAGTGCCACCTGTTAGTGCCGCCTATCAGTGCCACCTATCAGTGCCATATATGAGTGCTGCCTTTCAGTGCCCATCAGTGATGCCTGTCAATGCCGTCAGTGTCACCTACCAGTGCCTCCTCATCAATGCCCATCAGTGCAACCTATCAATACCCATCACTGCAGCCTCATTAGTGCATCAGTGAAGGAGAAAAATCACTTATTTACAAAATTTTAGATCAAAAACTAAGAAAAACAGTGTTTTTCTTTTCAAAAGTTTGTTGTTTTTGGTTTGTTTAGCAAAAAAATAAAAAAAAACCCAGAGGTGATTAAATACCACCAAAAGAAAGCTCTATCTGTCGCAAAAAAAAAATGATAAAAATTTCAAATGGGTACAGTGTTGCATGACCGCGCAATTGTCATTCAAAGTGCGACAGCGCTGAAAGCTGAAAACTGGCCTGAGCAAGAAGGGGGTATAAGTGCCCTGTAGGCTAGTGGTTAAGTAGTGTCCCAAGCATACAGTATTTATGTAAAAATATAATAGCCAATTTTGAGTAGTCCCTGCCTTTTTGGATCCGTTCTCTCAACAGTAAAGCATAGAAACCTAAATATGGAAATGATTAAGATTGATTTACTTAAAGTATATACCTAAAGGAGAGACTATTTTTCAGTTTTGGATAGAATTGAGTTGCATTAGAACACCTGTCAGGTTTCTATTGCTGTATGTGCCCTTGTTAGGGATATTCATTCTCTCTATTTGTCCTGTTTGTTAACATTATCATGAACATAAAAGACAATCTCAAATTTTGGGTAGCCTCCTATCTGCTGCCTTTTGCAAGAAAGTTGTCAATGGGAAGAAGGTTTACCTTCCAACATGACAATGGCCCAAATCACACAGCAAAAATAATCACACAGGGTTGAAGGAGAAAAGGTGAATTGCATTGCCTAGTAAGAGCCCAAACTTAAACCCCCATTCAAAATCTATGGAATTACTTGAAGACTGCAGTCCACAAACGGCCACCGTCAAATTTAACTGAACTTGAGCAGTTCTGCAAAGAAGAGTGGGCAAATGTTGCAAAGTCTAGATGTACAAAGTTAGTAGAGACATATCCAAACAGACTATAGGCTGGAATTAAAACAAAAGGTGGTTCAACAAAATACTGGCACAAGAGGTGATCCTATTTCCAACTCAGTGATTCTGTTTTATATTTTTATTTGATTTTTTCTGACATGTTGGTGTTTTTTCACTTGTTGGGAAGCTATAAGTTGCACTGAGTAAATACAGCTGGATAAAACCAAAACTGTGTCTGTCTTCATTTCAGGCTGTAAATACATGTGATTATGTTAAAGGGGGGATGATTTTCTATACCCACTGTATCTTCCCGCTGACATCATTGATCTTTTTAGCTACCTATAAGTGGGTAATTCATCCCAGTTACCACAAGTGTAAGGAGCATTCTTCCTACTGACCATCACATTAACATATTATGAGCAACTTTTAGCAGGGGTTTCCTGAGACTGGAAAGTTATTTCAAGGGCTCCACTGTGTTAAAAGGTTGAGAAAGGCTGACTGAAAGTGTAACTAAAAGGCAAAACTTTCTTTTTAATTTTTTATAGCGTAATGGAGGGTTAGAAACTGCTGTTAGTTGTTTTTGTTGCCATCTGTGTCCCATTGGGGAGATTTTGCTTAATTTCTTGGTCCATAGCTAAAACAGGAAGTGAGAGCAAATCCCTGCACATTAAGGGAACCCTTTGGGGTCCTCCAGGTCCTCAGAACTACTGCCCCCATTGGAAAAAATTTCCCTTCTATTACCTTTCTGGGGACAACCCAAAGTTTGGGATTTTCCTTTCATTTCACTAATTAGTTGAATATTTTAACCACTTGCTCTCCTGAGTATTTACCTCCTTCCTGACCAGGCCATTTTTTTGCATTACGGTGCTGGGTTATTTTAACTGATAATTCTGCGGTCATGCAATGCTGTACCCCAATTTTTTTTCCCCCACAAATTGAGCTTTCTTTTGGTGGTATTTTATCCTGTGCGGTTTTTATTTTTTTTGCGCTGTAAAAAAAAAAAAAAAAAAAAAGACTGGCAATTTTGAAAAAGAAAAAAAATTTTTTTTTTACTTTTTGCTATTAACCACTTGCCCTCTAGAGGATTTACCCCCCTTAATGACCAGGTCTCTTTTTGCTACTTGGCGCTGCACTAATTCAACTGATAATTGCATGGTCATGCAATGCTGTACCCAAATTAAATTTACGTCCTTTTTTTTAACACAAATAGAGCTTTCTTTTGGTGGTATTTGATCACCTGTGCACTTTTTATTTTTTGTGCTATAAACAAAAAAAGACCGAACATTTTGAAGAAAAATTATATTTTTTACTTTTGGCTATAAAAAACATATAGTAAACTCAAAGTTAGTTATAAATTTAGGCCAAAATGTATTCTGCTACATGTTTTTGGTAAAAAATCCCAATAAGTGTATATTGATTGCTTTGTGTGAAAGTTACAGCGTCTACAAACTATATGCTATAGATCAGGGGTGGGCAAACTTTTTGACTTGAGGGCCGCAATGGGTTCATATATTGGACCCGGGGGCCGGACCAAGAGTAGATGAATGATGTGTATGTGTCATCCATAGTAAGTATAGTAATATTCCCCCATAGTAAGCATAGTAATTAATCCCCCATATAGTAATTCATCCCCCATAGATTCATCCCCCATATAGTAATTCATCCCCCATAGGAATTCATCCCCCATATAGTAAATTCATCCCCCCTATAGTAATTCATCCCCCCTATAGTAATTCATCCCCCATATAGTAATTCATCCCCCATAGTAATTCATCCCCCATATAGTAATTCATCCCCCCTATAGTAATTCATCCCCCCTATAGTAATTCATCCCCCCTATAGTAATTCATCCCCCCTAGTAATTCATCCCCCATAGTAATTCATCCCCCATAGTAATTAATTCCCCATATTAATTCATCCCCCATATTAAGTCCCCAAGTCCCCCCTGTGTCAATTTACTTACCTTTGCTCCGCGCGTTCCTCTCGCCGTGTTCCCGCGCCGTTCCGGTCTTCAGGGCGGACTGTGAGAGGAGCCTAGCTCCCCTCACGTTCGTCACGCTGCCCCGCCTACACACATCCTGACAGCCATCCTGACAGTATCACGCTCCGCGGCGGGCCGGATTAAAAGGTCCGCCGGGCAGTAGTTTGCCCATTGCAGGTATAGATACTGTAATTTATGCCATTTTTTGCTATACAGAGCTGCACTAGTTTAAATGACAATTGCGCGGTCATGCAATACAGTACATAAATTAAATTTAATTCCTTTTTTTCCACACAAATAGAGCTTTATTTTGGTGGTATTTGATTACCTGTGCACTTTTTCTTTTTGGCGCTATAACCAGAAAAATTTTTGAGGAAAAACATTTTTTAAAAAAAACAAACAAAACAATATTTTAGCAGTGCTGGCACAGACCCACTGCAAGGGATACTTTTTTTTCTGCCCAGACTTGCGCTTTAAGCTGCAAAGCAGCAAAGGGGGGTATAGATATTGTAAAGCCTCGATGCTTTGCAAAAATGATCAACACTGTCATGTTAGGTGGGCTGTGCAGTATTTTGGGGTGTAATTCCACATATACCCATGGCTTGTGCAGAAATAAATAATTTAAAAGACAAGTTCGTGTAAAAAAAAAAAAAAAAAAAGTTTTTGTCATTTTCTAGAAACTTGTGGAAAAAAAATAAATCTTCCATGGACTCAATATGCCTCTCAGCAGATAGCTTAGGGTGTCTAATTTCCGAAAAGGGGTAATTTGATGGTGTTTGTACTATTCTGGTATTTTTTAGCACCTCAAGAATTTTGATGGGCAGTCAGAAAGTAAAAGCTGTGTAAATTCCATTATCTATACCATAGTTTGTAGACGCTATAACTTTCACAAAAAGCAATTAATATACACTTATTGGGATTTTTTTAACCAAAAAACATGTAGCAGAATACATTTTGGCCTAAATTTATGACGAAATTTTAGTTTTTTTAGATATTTTTTATGACCAAAATGAGAAAATGTTTTTTTTTTTTTTTTAAAAAAATTTTCTTCAAAATTTTTCTAGTTATAGCGCCAAAAAATAAAAAAGTGCACAGGTGATCAAATACCACCAAAAGAATGCTCTATTTGTGTTAAAAAAAGGACATAAATTTCATTTATGTACCGTATTGCATGACCGTGCAATTGTCCGTTAAACTAGCACAGAGCTGTATAGCAAAAAAATGTTGTAAATTGCAGTATCTATACCATAGTTTGTAGACGCTATAACTTTCACACAAAGCAATCAATATACACGGATTGGGATTTTTTTTACCAAAAACATGTAGCAGAATACATTTTGGCCTAAATTTATAACTAACTTTGAGTTTACTATATATTATTTATAGCTGAAAGTAAAAAATATCGTTTTTCTTCAAAATATTTGTTTTTTTTGTTTATAGCGTGAAAAATAAAAAGCACACAGGTGATCAAATACCACCGAAAAGAAAGCTCTATTTGTGTGAAAAAAAGGACGTAAATTTCGTTTAGGTGCAGCATTGCATGACCGCGCAATTATCAGTTGAATTCGCGCAGCGCCGAGTAGCAAAAAGAGGCCTGGTCATTAAGGGGGGTAAATCCTCAGGAGCTCAAGTGGTTAATAAAAAGGTAAAAGAAGATATTGTATCCACAAAATGACAATACAGTCTTGGCTCAGTTGGTTCTGAGGAAGAGGTAAGTCGTCAAAACGTGTTAGCCAGTTGGAAGTCCATAGTTCCCAATGCTGACAGACACGTACTGCGGATTGGACAGAGCTGTTCCTTTATGATGTGGCTTTGACTGTATTGTCATATTATGAGTACAATACCTTCTTTTATCTTTTATTAAATACATTTTTTAAGGTAATGCACTAGGCCGGTGAGCACTTTGTTTGTTTTCTTTATTCAGTACATTTGGATTCCCCCGGTCTCTTGAGGGCAGCAAGGCGTGCATATTCCAGGACATTTGTGGTGCGGTCCTAATTTGTACTGAGTCCATCCCTAAGCGCAGGAGCATCTGGGTTTGCTCTTCCTTTATCATTACATTCATGATCAGGTTGAACAAAATGTAATTGTGCTTATGTATTGTGAAACCGCTAACATGATTGCAGATGCTTTGACAAAACTGCTCACAAGAAACAGATTTATAGAACTGAGATCTGAAATGGGACTAATTTAAGGAGTAGTTGTTCAGTGGGGGTGTTGGCATACAATGTTCATGTATTTGTGTACAATACATCAGTATCAGTTTTCAGTAGACATA